GTATGAGGACAGGGCAAACAAAAAAAATAAAACGAGGACCCAATCCCCATACCATTCTAGCTCTAAAGACGTGACTTGGCCGGGTAATGAAACGTTTGCAAGAAAAGAACCAAGCTCAGAGAACCCCAAGGACTCCATACTATTTCTGCTTATTTGCAACTTGTTACTCACATCTCTTCTTATATCTTGTACACTTATGGACAGCCCCAAAACACAATGAGGAAAGAAAGAGAGACCTTCCACAGGGAAGGGGAGGGGAACACAAGGAATCTAACATGAAGGGACTTATCACTGCCCACACCTGTACATAAAGAACTGTTCCCTCACGACCTGCCATTAGTCTGACAGCATACATTGATCAACAAAAATTTTCTGTGCTGAACAAGATATTTTGAAAGTTACTGCCCACCAACATACTTGTTACTTTCTTCTCACTGAAGGATGAAATAAACTGAAAGGTGAGCAAGGTGGCCCTGTACTCCCTAAGTGTATAAAATATATCAACAGTGCATTAAAACAACGATAGTTTTGGCTGAAAATAATGCCTTCCCTGGCATAAAAACACCTTGCACTCCCTGGAGGCATTCAGTAACATGTGTGAGAAATACTGTAAGGCTCCTGCAAGTTGACTTTCGTTTTGATGCTCTTGTATTTGTCCCAACAATAAAGCTTTTGTTGCTAGGGTTGCATAAAACAGGTGTTGACCACTCCTGAAGTACTTGTGTTTAATTATAGGAATAACCCCAAACTGTCCCTTATAGCTAGTTCTCACTTCTTTGCTTTAAGACAAAGTCAGTGTGTGTTTGAATTGTATGAGGACACACAAAACAGCTGCCTAGTAAACTTTACTTAGCAGCATTTCTGCTCTTCAGAATCTCCCCTGCAAGTAACATCTAGTTGCCCAGATGTGGGCAAAGATTCAACTTGTAGCTTTGCTTGTGCTAAGGAATGTGTTAGCCAGTACCTGGGCAAATAGCAGAAGGGCTTTCCCTTCTACTGAGCTTTTTGACATGAACTAAAAAGATTAATTAAAAGAAGACTACAGGCTCAAAAAATCCTTGTTCACCTGCGCCTTTCACCTACACCTGAATATGTATATTGGATATCTTTTAAACAGATTTTTTTTAAAGAGTTCTGAAACATTTGAGTAAGAACTACACAGAAAAAAAAAAATACCAGCACACAAAAGAAATAAACTGGAGGCTAGAATCCAGATCTATCTCTACCATCAATTCAACATATGCCCTTGGGCAATAACCTCCATAACAAAATAATGCTGATTGCCTGCCTTTTAAGGCTGTTGATGCAAGACGAAATGCATATACAAAAGAATACAAAATCAAAGAAAGATATAGCACTGCTTAGAACTCTCCTTCCATGGACAGCTAAAAATATGCAGAACATATTCTCGGAGTCTACTCATTAGTATAAATTTAATTGAAGTTGTAAATATGTTAAATACCAATTGGTTTCTGATGCAAAATAAGGAAGTTAGCTTTAGAATGAAGCAATCTTCATTCAGTGACTTTATTAAGGTTCAAATGACATTGGATTTTTGTGTTCAGGGACTTTGGGAATTTCCCAGTGGAGGGAAATCGTAAGGTGGCTTTTGTAGTCGGAAGCTTATTACATTTGAATTTAACACACGTTTAGAGATCTGTATTTTTACGAGAAAATGCAGGAATGAAGCAGATGAAGCTGCCCCAACACTGCAATCTATCATCAGCAGGAATATAAAATAATGCTGTGGAAGCCTGACCTCACCACATCACGAAATACAAGGGACAGATCGAAATGCTTGGGCGGGGAATGGAACTAGGCACTCTGCACATGCTCAGAAACGCCGCACCCTTCCTCAATAACTCACGCTTCGCTCAGGTACTGGCTAAATTCCTTAATGGAAAGACGGGACTGATAACATGTACTTCCTTCTTCCACTTTCCGGAGCGCCTTACCGTTTGATGCGGAGCAGGCAGGCAGCGCTTGGCCTCTCTCCGTCCCAGTCGCCACTAGTCGTGGGGTCCCAAAAGGCCGAATGTGAAAGAAGCACTCCGGCAGCGGCGGCGGCGGCGGCCGCAGCAGGGGGAATTCCGGGCACCGAGGCTCCCGCAGCCCCGACTCCAGATCCCGCTCCAGATCCGCCTCCTGCCGAACCCAACCCCGCCACCGCCCAGAGCTCGGCTGGCAGGAAGACGCCCGTGCCTCCGCCACCCGCTCCAGATCCCGGCCCTCCGCCTGTCGGGGCCGCCAGCACCGCGGCCGAAGCTGCCTCCTCAGCAGCCGGACTCTCCGCCATCATCGCCAACAGTCCCGGCTACGCTTCCGGGACCTCCGACACCATCGACAGAGGCGGGCAGAGCGGATCACAATGCACCACCCACTATCGACAGTGGGACACATCAACCACTGAGGTAGAGAGTCCCAGAGCGCCCTACGTTCTTGGTTCCTTCAGTCGCAGTTAGTGGAACATTGATTACATAGAATCCTAGAGCATTGTCCTCACTTCCGGTTCCGAGTAGTAAGTTCTTTCTATCCGGCGTGGGTGAAAGTTCTTAAGAAAATTACTGGAAAGGGAAAGCTTCTGCCACCTGCGTATGGTGTTATTGGCAAAAATACAAAACCAATTTTCTACTGTTTTCTTCCGAGATGTCTCCTCAGTCTAGCTGACAGACATAGGATTTCCTCGTGGTCATCTGTCCAAGTATTAAGCAGATCTGACCGTACTTAGCTTTATTCAGAGAAGTTCGGGTTGGAAAACTAGGACAATTTTTAAAAAAGCCTTCGGTATCAGCACATGGAGAAATCTCTACTGCCTTAAAAAAGCCACATAACAGCGACAAATAAGAGTCGTCTCCCAGCCAACATCCGTTTTAATCTTACGGTGCTTATTTTCGTAGCACTACCACCTGAAGGAGTTTGAATTGTACTCGTATCTTTAAAAAGTAGATGCCAGGTAGAAATTAAACAGGTAAAGCATCACTTGATTGGCCAACGCACCGTGAGATTTTTTAAGTGAGATTGATGAGAAAAAAGATTATGAGGGGAAAAAACCCACTTATATAGTTCCTTTTGCACGACTTTAAACAAATGGTACGTGGCAAAACAAAATCTCCAGCATGATCAACTTTACCATGTATTTTCGATTTCCACTCTCTTGATCTGCACATGGAGGAGTCTACTGCATCGGGAACCAAATTTCAAGGGGAAAAAACCCTGCAGCTCTTTGCATATTTTTTTCCCTTCTGCAGCCATGCTAGAACATCGCCCTGGAACCGCCAAAATACTTACAAAATTATAGTTTTTTTTTCCGGGGGGGAGTGCTAAATAGCTATCAGAATATCTTTTCAAAGAAACTGCTTATCAATAAAAGCCTATCCTACGAAGCTCGATGCAACGAATTTCCACCTGCCTGGATGAATTCAGTCTTTCAACACTGTTCCCGGAAATTCCCTTTTATGGGCATAGGCACAGCCCCTTCGGCTTCTTGCGTACGGTTTCCTGAGATGCGCGCAACATAAGCTCCGCCCCTCCGGAAGTGAGTTCTGCTCCCTAGACATCTTTGAAGGGCGGTACAATAGTCTCTGTGCCCGCTGAAGTCTGTCTGTGCAGAACCCATCGCTGCTGCTTCTTGATTCTGCCCTCCGCGAAAACATCGCTTAACGGAGGCTGTTGTGGATTAAGTCCGTTTTAGAAGGGTACTAGTTAGGATTAGCCGGTCTCCATTCCCCCTACCAAGGAAACATACTTTTAGAAAACTCTGGAGGTCAGAGTCCTGTCCTTTGTCAAGCTGAAACTAATCCTCAGAAAATACACCCTTCTCTTTGTCCAAGAGCACCCTAATTATTATTCCATTTAATAGCAAGCTCTGGTGTATATATCCCAAAATCGAATCAAAACAAGATCGCTGAGAACACAAAAGAACATTAATGTACTCTTTTAAGATTTGCAAGCATAATGCAAAATAAATGTACACAGTTTGTTTCCTGTTTCTTTACCCTTGCTTTTATATTATCTTGTTTGATGAAGAGTTTTGCGGTATTCAGAATGTTCTGCAACCCTTTGCACTTGTTTTGGTTAGAGCTGATAAAATGTTGCCCCACTAGAACCAAACAGCAAATATCAGATGGAAAAGAAACAGATTTTTATGGCTTGAACTTTCATAAACTTTATTTAAAATAAATGTGTCGGGTGTCAGAAAAAAAACAATCCCCTAGAAAGGAAGTGGGGCAGAAAAA